TTGAGCATGATTGTGTAACAAAAGAAAGGAAAAAGTTAAAGCATTCCTTAAAAGAAATGAGAATGAAAGCACAACATGCTAAAATCTTTGGGGCACAGTGGAAACAGTCCTTAGAGGTCAATTTATAGTAATAAACACTTTCAAGAAGCAGAAAGAACCAAAATCAATACTTCAACTCAACATCCCCAACAACCGGAAAAAGAACAACGAAGAGTTAAAAACAACCCAAACCTGTGGAAGGAATATGGGGCAGTTTGTGTCAATAAAGTTAGCATCCTTGGGAGGGGAAAAAGAGTTAAAAACAACTCAAGTGCCCATCAACAGATAGATGATTGGCTAAAGAAACTGTGGCATCAACCAAAAAATATCAAGAATTCGTGAAATACTGCACAACATGGGTGAAATTAGAACAAATTATGCTGAATGACACAAATTAGTTACAGAAGAACAACAAGGATACGATAGAAAAACCTCATAAATAGTTTATAACAGAATCTGTCTTCGAGGGTTAACAGGTAAGAAGTGAGGCAGAGGGAGAACCCCAGTGAGCGCCGCACCCCCAGGCTGCCGCCATAGTCTGCTACCAGCTTGGGCTCATCCACCTGGGGAGACCTGGGCGAGAGCGCCTGGCACCTGGAGACGCCGACCTGAGCCCGCGGGGCCAGAGGAGACGAAACTCCGTGCACAGGCCCTGCGAGGTGCTGGCAGTGAGTTTGACGTCTGCTTCGCCTCAGTGCAGAAGAGAACGATTCAGACGCTCTGAACAGTACTGGACGTCTTTGACCAGATGTGGCCGCCAGTAGTGAGGACTTGACACCTCAATGAGCGGCATTATGGGGGTCTGACTGGCCTCAATAAGCCAGAAACTGCTGCCAAGCATGTGAGGCCGAGAAAAAGACCTGGAGGCGCTCCTATGGCGTCCCACCACCACCGATGGAGCCTGACCGCCCCTTCTACAGAAACGTCAGTAAGAATCGCAGGTGTGCAGACCGGACTGAAGATCAGCTGCCCTCCTGTGAGAGTCTGAAGGACACTGTTGCCCTTTTAGAATGAAGAAATAGTTCCTCAGATCAAGGCGGGGAAAGGAGTACTGACTGCAGCCCACGGCAGCAGCCTTTGGGGCGTTCTCAAACATCTGGAAGGTCTCTCTGAGGAGGAGAACTGAACCTGCCCACTGGAATTCCTGTGGTCTATGAACTGGACAAGAACTTGAAGCCCATCAAGCCCATGCAGTTCCTGGGAGATGAAGAGATGGTTTGCAAAGCCATGGAAGCTGTGGCTGCTCAGGGCAAGGCCAAGAAGTGAAGCCAAGTAGGCCGACTGCTGTCCTCAGGCCCACCCTCCCTGAACTTCCCTGCTCCCCAGCACATGTTACTCTGACCACATCTATGGGTGTCTTTAGTGGTAGCTAGATGGGGGGCCATTTGTCTCCTGCACACTTTCTTTTTCTTGTCTAGTCAGAATGGCACCTCTGGGCCATCATCCTCAATTCAGGGCATAGGGAAGACTTCTCATCCATGAGCGGTAGTGGCTCCAGGGTTTTTTTGCTAAGGACCTACCTGAGTAGAAGATAGGAGGAGCCATGCAAGGTATGAGCAATAAGGGGAAGCAGGAGAGCCTAGTCCTGTTGCCAGGCCCAGTGTCTTATTCTGTAATGTAGTAAGGGCACTCTAGCCATCCCAGTGGAGGATGACTGTAATCTACGTGCTGATTAAACAGTCTTTTCTCCCTGACTCCAGAGAAGCTGGCTCCAGAAGGTTGGGATCAACCCTGAATGTTTACATGTTGCATTTTCTTTTGTTCTTGTTATGTGCGGTCGAGTCACTTGAGACTCATAGCAACCCAATGTACACCAGCCCGGAAACCTGCCCTATCTTGTGCCAAGTTTATTGTCTCCAACACACCTACCCTCATTATCCCAGTCACTGTATTAATCCATCTCATTGGTGGTCTCTCTCTCTCTCTTTCTCTGTCTCTCTCCCCTGCCAAGCATAATGTCTCTCTCCAAGGACCAGTCCCTCCTTGCAACATGCCCAAAGTATGTCAGAAAAAGCCTCAGAATTCTTGCTTGCAAGGAGCAGCCTGGCTTCACCTTCTCTGGGACAAACCTGTTTGTTCCCCTGACAGTCCATGGTATATTCAAAACTCTTTCCAGCACCACAGCTCAAAGGCATCAATTCTTTTTCTGTCATCCCTAGTCATTGTCCCGCCCTCTGATGCATAGCAAGCAATTGTGAAGACTATGGTCTGGATCAGGAGCACCTTAGTCTCCAGATAGACATCATTGGTCTTCGGTACTTTGGAGAGGCCCCTAACAGCTGACTTTCTCAATGCAACTCGTCTTTTGATTCCCTGGCTGCTGGTATCAAGAGTGTTGATTGTGGAGCCAAGCAAACTAAAGCTGTTAACAATCTCAGTCTCTTCACCATCTATCATGATGCTGCCAATTGGCCCAGTGGTAAGAATCTTTATTTTCTTGATGTTGCACTTCAATCAGTATTGAAGGCTGAAGTCCTTGGCCTTCTACAGCAAGCACTTCAGGTCCTCCTCAGTTTCAGAAAGCAGGGTTGTGTCATCTGCATAAGTCAGGTTGTTGATGAATCTTCCTCCAATCCTGATGTCACATTCCTCCTCATACAGCCCAGAGTCTCAGATGATCTGTTCTGCATATAGATTGGAAAGGTATGGAGACAGAATACACCCTGGAATATGAGCTATATATGATATTTTCTTTTACAAAAAGAAAAAAATGCATAAAAGACAAACCCCATTCTAGGGTTTCTGATGGCAGTTTGAATAGCAGTCCCACATGAGGTCATCAGAAAATCATCCATTCCTCTCCCCGTGGGGGACAGGCTCCTTGACCTCTTAGGGCTTGGAGTCCATCCTGCTGTGTGTTTTAGAATCCTTCCCCTGCCATACTGTTTGCAGCAGTGAGATTCCTATGGACCATGTCCAAATGTGTCTCCACTATGTTTTCTGAATCATGTTCCAGCTGCTGTGCCTTGCCACTGGGGCCCAGAACCTGGTTTGAACATATCTATAATAAAATCTTTTTCCAGATCAGTATAATAAAGGAGAGATGTGCAATTTAAAAAAAAAATGAGGCAGGGAAGAAAAGAATATAAAAACTTAAAAATATCAAATTTTATAACTAAATCATTATAAAATAATTAAAAGAAAAACAAAATGTGTATACAACTGACTATTATTTTCTAAGCATCATTAATCTCAGAGGACACAGAAGTAAATAAACAGATGCAATCCTTCTTCTTGGGGGCTTAGTTCTATTTAAGGAAAAAGACCATAGACTAGATAATTTCAAAATTCATAGGCTGTGACGGGAATAAACAAACTGATGAACTGGAATCCAGACTGAGAAAGATAGAGAGATTCCTGTTCAGAGAGTAGAGCGATACCCTGGATAGAAGCAAGAAAAAAGAAGCACCTAGTCCTGCCTGACTAGGGAAATAGCCCTGGCAGCAGGGACAGAAAGGGCTAAGGCCCTGAGGTAGGAGCAATAAGGCATTTTTAATGACTAGAAGGAGGAATAAGGAATCTCTGGGGGCCTCGTGGTAAGAAGTTGCACTGCAATCCTGAAGGCACGTGGTTCAAATCTAGAAGTTGCTCCATGGGAGAAAAATGACCAGTCTCCCCTGAATACCGGCTGGAGGGTTGGTTCTGACACCACGGTACACAACAATAGAAGGAAGGATAAGTTCTGGTGACCTAACGGGTACAGAGTTGTGCTGCCAACCAAAGGTGGTGGTGGTGGTGGTTGGGGACCACAGCGTCAACTACAACTCATAGTGACCCTGTGAATAACAGACCTGAGTGTTGCCCTGTCCTGTGCCTCCTCACCGTCTCTCATATGCTAGAGCTCATGGCGACCGTCCCTGCGTCAGTCCATCTTGTTGAGGATCTTCCTTTCTTTGACCTTTTCTAAGAACTGGCTGCTCCTAAAAACATGCCCCCAAACATAGGAGAAGTGTCACCGACCTTGCCTCTACAGAGCACCTGCTTGTATGTACATCCTTGTAGATTTGTTTTGTTTTTTTGGGCAGTCCTTGGAATAGTCAGTACTCTTCTCCAACAAAACAACTGAATGTCTTTTCTGTCATCCTTATTCATTGTTTAAAATTCAGATGTATAGGAAGCAATTGAGAAAATCATGCCTTGGATCCTCAGAAGAAGAATGGAAATCTCCTCCTGGGTGATTTGCAAACATAGAAAACCCCCTGAAGCCATGAGTCAGTTCTGACTTGAGGGCAATACACTGAGTTGTTTGAGCAGAAAGGGTAGTCTTGACTCTGGACCTATTTCTCAGTTTTTATTTTATACACTACCCAAGTCCTGTGACTTCAAAGGTATCCGCTGCCTGCATACATAATAGAGGATTTCCAAATGCCTTTCCTGGCTGACCCTACCTGAACCACAGGCTCAACACAAAGCAAATCACCATTAGAGAGCGTTAGCATGAACCAGTGCCTCCAAGAGTCACTTCAAGTTTTCTTTCTCCCGAAGAGCGCTGCTGGATTCGAACAGTCAAAGAGAGGCGACCACTGGCTTAGCAGCGCAACTCCCTGCAGTCGAAACCTTCATCATATAATCAATACCTTTCCATCAACGTTATAATTAAAAAAAAAATTAAAGCATCAATTCTTTTTTAGTCTGAAAAGGGCTGACCAAATGAGGGAGAAAAAGGAAAAACAGACGATAAACCCAGACCCTGCTTCCGGGGCAGGTGACTTTGACCATTTTTTTAAAAATTTATATTAGTTTGAACGTATAATTTGTATACGGTCTTTCTTTCATTCATAGCCACTGTGTGTCACACATTCCTTCATTGACAAAGTTTGACTAGTTGAGCCACAGTGTGGCTGACACTATCCCGCGTTTCTGCAGCGCACTGAGATGATCTTTGTTGCCTCTGAGATGAGTTTTATGTAATTTGATATGAGAAGCCCAGAGAGGCTTTCTAGAAAATTACAATGTTTTCATTACTCCAGGATTTTGATTGCTCGGGGGTATGGCCCCACATCCACGTGGTTTACAGCGCCTAGGTATTTGCAGTCTCTGGAGCAGAAGGTTCTAAACTGCACGGTGGGCCCGGCTGCTGGGAGTGGGCCAAGCAAAGCCCTTTGGAAGGTGCTAAAGAAGTGCGAGCACTCGTGCCGCCGCCGCCGCCGCAGCCGCCGGCGTCCAGCCGGTCGCTCTCAGGCCACAGGGAAGTGGAGAGAAGGGGCCTGCGCCTGAGTCCAGGAAAGAAATGGCGGGGCAAGGCCCGTCTCTCCAAGTACAGCACGGGGTGATCAGCGGCTGCTTGGTAAGCATTTATTCCTAATTCTCCTGAGGTCGTCTCCCACCTGTTCGTCAGGTGAGGGATTAAAAAATAAGAACAACCTCGGCTTAGGCACCGCTGGGATTCGAACCCAGGATCTCCTGTTTACTAGACAGGCGCTTTAACCAACTAAGCCACGGCGCCGCCCGCATGGCTACCGCGAGAATTCGTTTCTCATGACTACCGCTCCTACCCGCTGCACGCATGCGTATGAGCCTCGCTTAAAGTTTAGCTTGCTGTGGGTCTTGTCCCTCCGGGGTTACTCGGTCGCTGGAGTTCTGACCCGGAGGCTGCACTCTGCAAAGGCTTTTAAAGCTCACGAACCTGCTCCTGCCTAAAAGCGAAGACCTCCAGACCTTTGGGTGGTGCGCGCACGAAATTTATGCGTCTTGTCCGCCTGGAGACCCCGATCCGCGCTTTCGGTGGGCCCGCGTCTTCCTCGGACCGTGAACCCAAGGAGGGTCCCGGGGGTCCCCGAGGGGCTCTCACAGAACCCCAGCTTCTCGGGCCTCCTGGCCTTGGAACAGCAACTTCATTTGTGCGGAATTTTCTGCTGCCAGGACTGGCTCTCCCGCCCTGACTTCTTGCCTCTTGGACCACAGACCCCCGAACCCCAGTACATACATTTCAAAGGGGCAAAAATAGAACCAGACATTGCCCACCGGATCACTCAGCGCTTCCTCGGGTGCGATTCTCATCCACAGAAGTGGTAGTAAGTCTATGCAAAACATATGTACAACACTATCACCCAGCGTTATTGGGAAGGGGGGGAAGAAAACCACACAACAAACCAGGAAATAAACCAAATAAATGTCCAACAGTGGGGAGGGGGAACACTTGCCTGATTTCAGCTTCTTGGGGAACAGAGGAGAAGCCGCAAGTAACTTGAGTGCTCAAAGGAACCCAACTGCGGGGAGAGTATGAAGTCGATTTTTGACCCTATATTCATGCAAATAAATCAGTGTATAAAACAGCCAACAGGAGTCTGTGTAATGTCATCAGGCATCCATCCATTCACATAATGACTGCCAGACTATACAAACCCGGAGCTGCTATGTAAATCAATCCTGCAATTAAACTTTGTAAATAGGCCAAGGGGCATAGGAAAGACATTTAATGAAAATCAGATAAGCTCTGTCTATTAGCGAAGTGGACCCTTTGGGTAAAACCTAAAACTGTAAAGATCGGCAGCAGGGATATAGAAAATTTAGGATCCCTTAATGGATGGTGAAGAGATTGAGATTGTTCACCGTTTTGGTTTGCTTGGATCCAAAATCAACACTCTTGGCACCAGCAGGCAGGAAATTAAAAGTTGTATTGCAATAGGAAAGTCTGCGGTTAGAGACCTCTCTAAAGTCCTGAAGTGCAAAGATGTTAGTCTGGAGACTAAGGTGTGCCTGATACATGCCATGGTCTTTGCAATCACTTGTTATGCATCAGAGAGGGGGACAATGGCTAGGCATGATAGAAGGAGCTGTGGTGCTGGAGAAGAGTATTGAATATACCAAGGACTGCTAGGACAAACAGGTTTGTCCTGGAGAGGGTGAAGTGGGCCTGTTCCTTGGAGGCAGGGATTCTGAAGCTTCGTCTGACATACTTTGGACATGTTGCAAGGAGGGACCAGTCCTTGGAGAGGAAGACCCTTGATGAGATGGATTGATTCAGTGACTGGGATAATGGGGGTAGGTGTGTCAGAGATGGTGAGATTGGCACAGAATAGGGCAGAGTTTACATAGGATCGCTATCAGGTGACTCAACGGCACATAACAACAACAACAATAAATCATGTGTGAAACTGTTGGATTCTGGAAGGTGGGGTTTTTTGATGGAGGCTCATGTGTGGACTGTTTGATTTTTATTTCGGTCACGAGTCTATGTGAGCTGATTGGATTTGCTGGATTTAACTAACAGTGAACTGTGGCTGGAAGCCTCTTGTTTAAGTCAATCAGAATCTGGTAGGTAGGCATTTGTATTTAAAAGTTAGGCCCTAAAGCCTGCAGCCCTGGGCCTTGTGTTAATAGTGTTTGAGATAAGCATTCTTCTAAGTGGTACAGCACTGGTTTGCCAACTTGCTGTTCTGAGGTAACTTGGGGTTGCTGTGGTGCTGAATGTTATGCCACTGGTGTGTCAAATGCCATAATGGTTACCCATGGTGGACAGTGTTTGGTGGAACTCCCAGACTAAGACAGGCTTGGAAGCAAGATTGACATCCACCTCTGGAAACTATGAACATTAGAGAAATGAAGACAATTATAGAACAGGGTTCAGATCTTTTGTTCATAGCGTCACTATGAGTCATGCTCAATTCAACAGCACTGAACAACAACAATTGACAGTATAAATATACATTCAGATATAACAACAGCAAAAAGATATGCACAACCAGGACAGGACAGATTAAATGAATTGTTGTTGTTGTTAGGCACTGACCATGACTTACAGTGACGCTATGAACAATAGATCTGACCCTGCCATATCCTGTGCCATCCTCGTCATCTCTGATATACTCGAGGACATTGCTACAGTCACTATGTCAATCCATCTGGTTGAGGATCTCCCGCATCTTTCCAAGCATGTCTTTTTCAAGGACGGCCCATTCTAACAACATGCCCAAAATATGTGAGATGAACCTTCACCATCCTTCCCCAAGGAACACCCTGGCTTTACTTTCTTCAAGATTTATTATTTGATCTTTTTTGCAATCCATGGGATATTTAGCATGCTTCTCTGACACTACAACTTAAAGACATTGATTCTTCTGTCATCCTTAGTCACTAGTCCAACTTACAGATGAATAGGAAGTAACTGAAAAGACCATAACTTGAATCAGACGCACCTTAGTCTTTAAACTGACATTCTTCACACCTTAGAGAGATCCCTGACAGCAGACTTACCTCTATGCAATAAATGTACTCAATGCAATGCAAAAAAGTCTTATGGTTTCTTGACTGCTGATGTCAAGGATGTTGATTGTTGATCCAGCAAGATAAATAATTGACAACTTCAGTCTTCTCTCCATTTATCATAATGTTCATTGGCCTAATGGTAAGGATTTCCATCTTCTGGATATTGAGATGTGATTCATATTGAAGACTGTAGTCCTTGACATATAGGGACTTCTTGAAGCTGCACTGCAATTCCAAAGGCACCCTGTTGAAGGCCACCAGCTGCTCAATGGGAGAAGGGTGGGTGATCATATCCTGTGCAATTAACTGCCTCTGAAAACTCACCAGAGGTCCAATTCCATGAAACACAACAACAGTCCTTGACAAGATGAAATGGACCATCTAAAAATAAAGTCCTTATGTGTACCAAAAAAAAAAAAATTCTTCAAAAGAGTAATAAGAGAACCTACTGACTGGGGGGAAAATATTTGTCAATGATATAGCTGACAAAGGCCTCATATCTAAAGTTTGTAGGAAACTTAAATACCTCAACAAGAAAAGACAAACAACTAATTTCTAAAATGAGCAGAGTATGTGGAAAGATTCTTTACCAAAGAAGACATTCAGATGGCCAACAAACACAGGATTGTTTGTAAATCATATAGGGGATAACCCATCTCCCGTGGAGCAGTTGGTAGATTTGAACCATGTGCCTTTGGGTTGACAGCTGAACTCCTTACCCAGTAGGCCACTAGAGCAGATATTAGATGCAAATCAAAGTAATAAGGAGATATCATCTCATTCCAGCAACAATAGCAAAGTATATGAATGCTGGCGAGGACGTATTAAGATTAGAACTCTGATACCTTGGTGTTGTTGTTGTTGTTGTTATGTGTCATCGAGTCGCCTGCGACTCATAGCGACCCTATGTACAACAGCCCTAAACTCCGCTCTGTCCTGTGCCAATCGCACTGTCTCTGACACTCCCATCCCAATT